CAAAAGTACTCAGTGACGTGCATCAGAGATCTGACGAAACTTTTTAGCTGATGCTGTTCAAATTAAAGAGGATTTCAAACCAAGAATCTTTTTAAGTCTCTACTTCCACCGCTCGTTACCGTGAAAATAAATGAAAAGAATCTCACATTGATAGCGAGATAACATATTTTGGTGATTTGATTGTAAATTCCCATAAGCTTCAAGCTGAATAATTCATTGTCGCCTTTTGGAGAAGATACATATTAAATACTTCTAGGAGTCATATAGTTAAATATCACCGGCTGACGTGAAAAAGCAGAGCAGGACAGATTCAAACAACACAGTAGGGTAGTTAAACTGCTTCCGTCGCTGAGGAGCGAGAGGTGAAAGTTTTAGTAGTAAGAAAAATCAATCAAGTGCCACTGTTTTGATTTAAATTATCCTTACATCGACTAGAAGTGAGAACAATGAGGAACTGAATTATATTGTGTTTTACACGATACTCCAACATAACATTGACTTCTTTCTTCTCAGTTTAGTTTCTTTACAAATGTCGGTGTCTTTATAGTTTTTTTTTTCTGTTATTCAATGCTATCTTTGCCAGGATTTCCTGTCAAATTTCCAGACAAAGTTTTAGACTTTGTCGAACTTGTTTTTTCCTGCTTAGTGACAACTCGTTGCAGTTGAATCGCAATTAAAGCTATTTTAATCTTTCTAAATTAAAAAAAAAATTGCGTTCGGTTGTCGCTAAGAATCACAATTACTTTTCTCATGATGTCATTTTTCGTCATCACGTTATCACTACTCTTTGACGCTGACCTCACAAGAACACTCTCCAGTGATTTCCTCAGTCTCGTCACTTTCAATCGTCGTTTCTTCTTCTTCTTGTTGACTTTCTTCCACCTTTTTCAACGATTTCTCTTTCAGTTTTTCTTCTTTCCGCGCAGCCTCATGTCTCCATTTTGTTCTCCTGTTCTGGAACCACACTTTCACCTGCGTCTCAGACAAACCCAACATGGCGCCGATCTGTAACCTCTCCCTTTTTGTCACGTACTTGGTTACCTGGAAACGCTTCTCCAGGCCTCTTCGTTGGAGCTGCGTAAAGACTGGGCGACACCATGGCCGGCTGGAAGCGCGCATGGGTGAACTGAAGGGCTGATGATGAATGTAGGCGAGCTCATGATTGCTTAGGAACGGTCTGTGAACAACATGTTGGTCTGAAACAGAAGTATTTATATTTATTCGTAAAAGCTTTCACATCGGTTTGCTTACTTAAATTAACAATTTTTTTTTCAAAGGAATATTAGGTCTGCACCGACAAAAGGTTCATCTTCCAACGAACATGATGTTTTTTTTAATTTCCAAATCGAAAATCAAATTCTATCTGGCGAAAATATGGCCACGAGTAAATAAAACTTTTTAAAGTTACATAAAAAAGTTGTTTAATTATATTCTGGTATGACTTTCTACCACGATGACAAAAGCGTTAAATATAGCGGCTCTGCATAAATTTCGTTAACCTATTCGTCGGAAGAGAAAGAGGATACCTTGCTTGACAAACGAGCAGAGAGAGTAAGATATGACTCTTTTTTTTACAACACCATGATCCAAAATTACGCAGAAAATACTCATCCTTGTTAAGTCAAGAGCTCGTGCATAATTTGATTTAACTCTAAATTATGAAGACGGACAAAATAGGAAGTGTATGGCAGGCAGGAGAGAGAAGATTTTGAGAGTGAAAAGCCTAACCTTCTCATGAACTCTCCTGAAAATCAAGGTACACACATCTGCTGCTGATGTAGTGCTACTTTATGTTTAGCTTCATCCAATTTAATAAGCAAAAAAAAAACCGGTCTATCTAACCCGGATATCGTCTGGGGAGAGACCAAAAGCTGTTTACAACATAGCGCGCGTGCTTGCCTTATGTAAGTCCTATTGAGCCGCTATAAACAAAATCTATACTTACGCACGCTCGTGCGTAAATAAGATGACGTGAACATTTTTTGTTCTTTGTTGCTCTGTTATAAAAGAATTTGCTCATGCTTTTAGCTGTGCGTACATCGAGTTATGGATGCTCTTGGGAAGTTTAGAGAGCACTCAAAAAGCTAGAGTTGCTCTCGGCTGCGCCTCGAGCTACTCTTACGCATTTTTCGTGCTCTCCAAGCTTCCCGCGTGCATCCATAACTCGATGTACGCACGCTAAACATGAACAAATTCTTAAATATCGAATAGGCCACAAAACACGATCACCAAAATTCCCTACACTGAAAATCTATAAGATTCACTGGCAAAAAAACGATAAACAACAAAGAACTTCAGCTCGCAGGGGAGGGCAAAAGCATATTTGAGCGAGATACGAGTTAGCTGTGTTTGGAACTCTTATAATTTCTGTTGTTATTCAAAACGTTGCAAAAAAAAAAAGGGACTAGGGTCAAGTTATGACAATTCATTTCGTAAAGAAAGATTAAAGCTTTGGAGATTTGAGTTGAGATGAAGCTTTCACTCTGAAGGTGACAAGTCAGTCGAAGGCAGACAGAACTAAAAATCCTTCTGTTAACATATGCACTCTTTGTTAAGGCGTCCTTAAACTTAAGCGAGGTCAGGCATTTTCTTTCGTCCGAAGCCATATTTTAGTCCCAGATTTACGGGAGCTTATAAGACGGAAAATTTGTCGCTGTCTCGACCGATTGGCTCGTCAGTCAACGAAATCTTCTTGGCGATCGCTTAGTTGTTTTTATGAACGGGATGATTTGGGGAAGTTTTTTCATGAACAAAGTGTGAAAAACATCTGCGCGCAATCCATCTGTATCATGAAAAAAATTGAACAAAGACATCAATGACAAACGAGATTATAAATTCTCGATATTTCCGACTACCATTATATGTATTTAACAGATCTCACTTAAAGATGGATTAGCACAAGTGTCATTTTGCAATACATTTCACAGTTTCAACACGCAATTTTGCGCTTTTCAAGGAAACCTCATCACACTCGGGGCGTGTCTTAAACTTCTAATTTATGGAGGTGTATTCATTCCTTCAGTTCGAGCCTAGGAGCGCCATGCCGAGTTTCATGCAAGGATCACACAAATGTTTTCCATCTTCACTCCACTATCTCTGCCATAAATCTTTCCGTGCTCGAAGCCGGATTCCTTTACTGACATTAGTTGAATTTATTTCTTATATCTGATGCAAGCTTCAACATGATATCATTATCTGAACAAACTCCTGGTCCATTCACTCATCGGAGTACAACGAGGTATTTTTAATTAAAATCAAATCATGTCATAAACGCAAAGCTTAGTGATATCTTTCAGCGTCAGATTGAAAAAGGAAACGGCGAGTTTGTAAACACCTGAACACAGTTACGATGACCGTACTATCGCAGAATCTACTTACTCGGGAAATATTTATTAACCCGGCCGATAATGAACAAGCACACGCCCTAATTAATCATATCGGAAATATACTTCAAAGAAGTCGGGAGTTAATACCAAAGGACTGCCTATCTAATAAAGAACAATAGCTGTGTTTTTTACGCAGCTGAGCTAGGACTGAACTGCAGCGATGATAAGGAAAAAATTTTGGAAAGATGAAATGTATGTTAGTAACTTTCCTTTGTGAGCAGGTCGACTGGAAGCCGCTTTTGATAACAAAAGTTAAACGCGCAGGCGAAATGAAAAATCAAAATGTGATTGATAAAACAGAAAACACATCATGAACGAACCTATAGTGGCCGTTTATAATGGAAAATTCCATTCCTGAGATAAAACAAACGAGCTACACATGTTTAGTTCCAGCAGATGTAAGAAAAAGATGTTTATTAACTATAGGCTATTAAAGACCCGAGGAAAGCCTCATCGTTTGTAAAATAAACTTTAAAACAATCTGATGACCATTAGCAAAGATCGAAATCTTCACAGCAATTACCGCATTCAGCTTAGGTAAACAAAAAGAGCGGCACCAGGATTGGACATAAAATAAGCAAGGAACATCAAATGAGAAATACGTTGAAGAGAAGTAGAAGTTGAAAGATGATGATATTCAGTGAACGAATCAGGCGAATACTCGGAGAAAAAGAAGTCCGTGTGCTCCAAATAGGGGTCGAACCTACGACCTACCGATTAGAACTTCGGAAGCTCTACCACTGAGTTGTAAGAGACTTGTGATAGGCGAGCGGGGACTGTATTTTGAACTAAACTGTGATGTGACTTTAGCGGAGTCTGTAATGAAGTTTGATCTTTCTTCTCACAATTTCGCCATTTCCAACGTAGATTGCGATACGTTTCGAATGCATATTGCGAGTCTTCTTCTTCTTCTTTTGTCACTGGTTCAGAAAAGGAGTTTATTGAAGTCGATAAGGCACGATCAACATGCGAAGTGACCTCATCGTGAAACAAACGATATAACCCCCCACTGCTATAGTATTTACCGCAATGAAAAACCTCAAACCTTTTTTTATTGCCTTATTCTAGCGACAAAAGATTACTGTAACAAAATTTTGCTTCTGAAAATTAAGGTTTTTCTAAAATGTATTGTTCCAGTGTTTTTCCCATGTCTTCGGAATGTTACGACAATACGCTTTCACTCACTGAAGTTAGAAAGGCATTAAGCTTGGGACAGGATAAGAAATATTTTATCAAATTATTACCCTGTTTTCGGAATTTCTGTGATAGCAGTATGGAAGATCAACGTCCTTATTTTGAAACTTTTTTGAAGCTTCGCAGCTACGACGTTTAACTATGTCGCCCAGAATTCTCTAAGTAGGAGAGGTCAGAAATGAATTGTGAAAATTCTTACGACCAAACGCTAGAGCACACGATTACCAAGAAGCAGGCATACTTTTCGCCCATAGTGTATCAGTTTCAATTCAGTCCTATACGAAATCAAACCATTTCCGCCACTCGATATCAGTTAATTGATAAAACAACATCAGCCAAAAAAATGCAATTCGGTTTTAGCACAAGGGTGAGATCTGAAACGTACATCAAATGTCTCTGTGTCGTGCAAGATCAGAAACCACAAATGTGTTTTTCGGATAGTGTTTATGATTAATTATCATAATGCACTTAAAACTGTAATACTATTAACACATTTCAGTTGAGGCTCATAGTGCTAAGTATGCGATAAATGCTTTTTTAATTCATGGTATTATGCATTGTCTTTACACGAAAAGAGGCACGAAAATTATTAGTCATTCACTTGCTTTTTTTTTAAAACATTGTACAATTTTTGCCAGTGCCTACTCTGGGGTAATTTTTCCCCTATTGTGATATTAGATACAAATACATTGTATATGTATGTATGAAAATTAAAAATTTCTTCCTATTTTGTTCGAATAATTCAATTGGAATATTGAACTCTGAACTACAATGGCCGAGAGAGTGCCAAATACACTTACTCTTTGCTCCAGTGAGTGGACTATGAGTGAATGGACTATGCTCTTTAGAAATTTAGCTACCTTGTTGATGTGACGCAGACTTTAGCCTGCTTGCCACTTTATACATTTTTCGATTGCATAACAGTTTTCAAACATAACGTATTCAAACAAATCCTCGCATTCAAATGACAATTGCATCCATTTGGAATCTTACGAAAACTTAAACGAGTGCTACAGCTTGTGAAATAGGGGTTTCCGAACGAAGGTTCCCCATTTTCAAAGCTAGTCGTCGTCAGTTCAAAATGTTTTTTTTTTTCTTAGGACGAAATTTCAGCGCTTTTCTCCATCTATCTCGCTTTGAAAGGAAAAATAATTTTAAATTAGAAACTAAAATTTCTTTGGTGAAAGTAAGTTTACATCTATCAGGAAAAAGGTCCACTCTATTGAATTTCCACGAACAGGTTGTTTTTGAAAGTAAACTTATTGACAACAGTTTTGTAACCGCAATTAAATGAGACTCAAGTATTCAAACATTCATTAATTAGTTTACTTTAAAGACGAAAGGCTTGGTAATTGTTTTTTAAACTCTTCTTTTCAACAGAAAAGTAAAGTGAAAGTCTTAAATTCAAAGTTGTTCAGTACGCATCCTTAAACAAGAAAGGGAAATTTTATAAGTGTCCTATCAAACAATAACGATAAAAACACGTTGTTGAGGTTCAGACGAAAACGCGTCAGTTTTGCCACTAAAACAAACCGCTGCCTGGCAAGTTATTAATCAAGAGTTTCAGATACGGACACACAAGACTTTTTGGTTTGTAAAAGCCTTATAAATTCACATTCGACATTCGCTCGGTGCTGTTATTAACGAGACGCGCTCGCTCATCGGGCACCAATGAAGATAAGATATCACGAATGAACGGTAGTCTCCTGTACAGTTTCAACGCTTGCGGGCAAGCTGAGTATACAACGGGTAACAGAGCTTAAAAATTATCTCTTTCCCAACATAGAGGATTATCATTTCGTCGCCATTAAGACGAGAAACCAACGGGGTAACTACTCGTCAGATAGCGCTGAAAAATAAAGAGACTTGCGAAGGTATGGTCGTTTAAAGTAAAACGAATAATAAGAGAAAGCTCGTTTCTTTACGACTCCGCAAAAGGTGGTGGACGCCTCACCAAGGTTTCCAGCCTTTTAATCTTAGGTCGCAAGGAATTAAAATTTCTAAGAGCCTTTCCCTGTTATACATGCAGCGATTTGCGCCGAACTTCAGCGCGGCTGTTGTTCGTGACGCACGTCAGTAGTCGCAAATTTGGCCAGAAACACTTTAAAAGCGCTCTTATTTTACTGGGTAAACGTTAAAAAAAACCCAGTTTTATCTTATGGCATCCGAGCAATACGTTTCACCGGTAAATGCCAATTGCACATAAAACGTGAAAAGTCTATCTTAAAACCGCAACTGAGTGGCCAACGTTAGTATTTGAAGTGATCAGCGACCGATGGATGAAGTCGTTCGTGACCATACCTCCTGCAAGAATAATTCTTTATTGGAGATTAAAACACAGTAAAGATCTATCAAATACTGAAGATTATTTGTATGTTTTATGTGTTTTGCTGAGATCAAATCTCGAGTTTAGTAGCTAATATTCGACAGAGTGAATCTACTGAAAATTAATTCGAAAACACAACGATTAGAGACATGATGCCATTTAGCACCACTCTTTTGGCTTTATACGCTTTGTGTCTTGATTTTTTAGAAACCTTACCTGATTGTAACTTGCCGTATAGAATATTCTCAATTCCAAACTTGAGGTTTCTGCTTGACGACGAGTTCGTTTCGCTGTTTTCAGTTTGTTCGCTTGATCCGCCGTGTGTGGCCGTCCTGTCTAACGATGTCCCGTAAACGGAGGGCGACGCTTGGATAGGACAGTTCCACACGGAATAAACATTGGGGCTGTGAAGCACCGGTACAGAGGCGCAGTTACAGTAGATCAAGTGAGGTGAGTTGAACATGCTGCATCGAGCGAGCCCTCGTATAATTCAACACTGACGCACAGTGGTGTCAATGTTATTCAGGGACTGATCAACCTCTACTTACAGACCTCCCATATAAAAGATAATGTATGGGAAAGATTGGCAGTAGATTGGCTTTATCTCTAGCATCAACGTCTGCTTGAGGATATTAAAGTCTTTATTATTATTTCACGGACATTCCAAATGCGGTTTTGATAAACGGATTTGGCAACCGTGTTGAATGGTACACGCGCTACGGAAATGCCGAGAAATGCACTCCTTTTGCCACATAGTCTCTTAAATTGCGCTGTTAATAATTTTCACACAAAGACGCGCAAACTATCGCACTTTTTGCGCACTTAAAGGCCCATTTTTGCTTTACCTGTCATGCGTTCAAATTGAACTCGCCAGATGGGTCCGCCCTCCTCAATCAATTTAAGGGCCTCATTTTCTCCTGGTCATTATCATATCACAAGCACTCTATATCATGTTTTCAAAGGGTCAAATTTTATGAGTATCATATTTGGTGTTGAAGAATCACTCTGGGCTGCAATAAATCCAAGCACATTTCAGTGAACTCCTGTAATCTAATTTGACTTGGAATCATTCTACGATAACAATCGATTGGAGTACATTGCTTACAATTAGCGCGTCTAACAGTCTTCTTGCTGAATTACTAAACATCACTTTTGGCTTTCGTCGTTCCTCGCTACTGACTGTTGCGTAAAATGTGGCCTGTTAAGATTCTATTTTGATTGCGTATTGATAAATTTGGCGCCGTCGTGTCAACTGAGTCTCCTTTATGACAAATACCACGTATATACCAGAGGTAAAGTAAAATTCGAGAACTGGAAGAAAAGAAAGATTTCGTGTATTTGGGGGAATCCCTTCATCACTGCAAGCGACGAGGCAAACTCTCATGCAATGTAGCAAAAAGGAGAAGAAAAAATGGACACTTAGATTTATTCTCTAAACTAATTTGTCATTAGCTCAGTAAAAATTCACTTTTTTGACATTTGGTGTAATGTGTCTAATAACAGCATTGGCCTGTCCACGCAAAACTGATTTGGTTTATATCATTGACAGCATTGTTTTCTTTTCAATGAAAACGTGATAGACTCGCCAGTAACTCCAATGACCCCACTTGATTAACGGAAGCCGATGAAATTATGACTTTCTTGACCAGTCGATGAGGTTATTTGTGAAATTTGGACTCTTTCCTGATACCCACGCGAAAAGGCTGAGAGTACAATAAAATATCCCACTTAAAAAGTATCAAAGAACCGAATCGAAAACAAACATATCTACATGGAAGCATCGCTCATCGGGCTCTATTTGGCTGGTCACACACGAAGCATTTGAACCGAAGGAAATATTATTCAAATATTAATCAAGCTATGATAGCTTCTTAAATGGCCCCTCACGATTGGCCTTAACAGGTTCGTCAAAGCTGCGCTTGCCATCTTCAAGTGATTGCGACAAGCACAGCCGTTTCCTGCGGCTCAATACATATCATTCAAAGCTTTCAATAATCAGTGGTAAAAATTTCCTTTATTTATTGAATCAAGCGATGTTTGACCCAGCTAGTAAAAGATTAGCAAAATAGAGAAGAAAAGAAAAATATGTCATGTGTGATAAAAAACATGCGTATCTACCGCACCAAGAAAATTCTCACGCTCCATATTTAGCACAATTACGAAACTTTTCAGCTTGGGTCATCGCGGTTTTTTTTTATCTCCAAGATGGTTACATCATGCCCTTCTTTCTTAACCGAGATAGGCATGGGGAGAGTTTCAGGATGCAACGCAGCCAACGTCCCGAAACTATTAGCTCCCGCAACAACTCTTGGGCTATTTAGTCCGGAGCTTAAAAGATCCCAGATCTACGAAAAAATTTCAGTGCACATAAATCATTTTAACATTTTAGTGCCAACGAAACAGAACCTGGAAATGAGTTATTCAACTAAAAATGGAAAATTATTCAAAAAGGAAACGTGATGAAATGTAGTCGAGAGGTGTGTCAGACACAAGTATTTTCCCAGACACTTTAAAGACTTTCTTGTTGCTGTCTAGGCTTAGTTTAATACTCTTTTAGCTGATGCTGAAGAGTTATTAAAGTGTCATGATTTCTCCTGTGCTCGTGGGAAGCAGGGTTTTTTCGGGTGGAACATCAGCTCCCGGGCACGTAGCATTGGTTTAACCTGATTTGAGGAAGAATTTCCCAAGACTGTGCGAGGAGAAAAAAAATTAGTCCCTGGAAATAGGAAAGGAGCTATTTCTCGCGGAAGTTTGAATGCAAATAAAAGAAATTGTCCAAACTGAGGCAGGAAAATTCTTTTCTGCTTTGCAGACCTTTCGGGTCGTGGGAAAGCTTGCCAACTCCTAAGTAGCTCAAAAAACGGCTCAGAAAGGAATTAGAATACACGTGCATTCCATTCGTAAAATCCTTATCCTGCTTCAATGCAGAGTAATAAGACTAAAAATTAAGCACAGAAACCATGAGGAGTCTTCATCTTACGGTCTAAGAGAAGTGAAACTCGACATTTTTTACCGAAATCATTCAATGAAATAAAACCTCAAGAGAGCAAGCTATTGCTGGCCACGTACCCCATATCCTCTCTCCTCTCGCCAGCAAAAACCATGTATATGCGTTTTCGATGTAGGGAGAGAAAAAAAAAAGATCTCTTCATCCACTGGTGACGACTTATTTGTCTTTCCGTTACGCGAAAAAGAAAACGCAAATCGATTTTATTTTGTACGCTCAACCGACCTATGCACTTTTTAATTTCTGACTCTCGCGAAACAGAAGTTTTCTCCTCCGTTGACAAAATGTAGTTAAGCTATAAAGGAAGAGGTACAGTTAGGTTACTTTAAATAACAAAGAGTGAATTCCCAGGCTTTATTAATTTGTGGTCAGACGTTTTGTGGTGGGGAATGCACTTAACGCGGCGAGAGGCGCAAACCCGCATAGTTACCGCCATATCTTCTTCATTCCAGGCATTTCTTAAAATAAAGACTGTTTGGACATGAAAAGGAGAGACGGTACGCTAAAACGAATTGTCGTGACGAGAGTCTTGCGCGCCAAGCAAGTATTATTGTTATTGTAATACTTTGCTTTTCAGAGTTTAAAAGGCTGACATACATTGATCTTATGTATTATTTAAAGCCTTTAATTGTTCGCCTTTCAGATTAACGGCAATTCACGCCAAGCCCTTCACGTTTGGAAAGTTTTGTCGTCTTGTATAAACAGGGAAAAAGATTACTTTTTTGCTACAGAGACTAATTTGTAATCCTCTTATACGGATAAATAAATAATTTGGGACAACAAGACACTAGGTTCATCTCCTTGCTTTAAAAGAATATCTGGGAATTAAATCCACTGTCATTTTCAGGATTAGTCTCTGCGTTTCTGCTCTATCAAAGAAAATACCTAGGGCGATATATAGCTAATAAAAACTGCTATGCGGAAATATGAAAAACGTTATGACGACTTAAAATCATGGACAATCACTTTATTATCAACTTCGTATTCATGGCTCAAAAAGATTTCTTAGAATTAACTTTTTGAGATTAATGTTTCATATTTTGAGAAAAAGCGAAATTCCTTTTCATTAAAATGTGATTGAGGAGATTGCCTCTTTTGTTGAGCCTCGATCAACACGAGAAAATCAGGACCGCTACAAAAACTCTGAAGTTTCGTAGCATGAAATCTCCTCTTACTGAATGGCACATGAAGAAAGAGACTTTTTGTCTTACTATGGAAACTTGGCGGGATTATTCACAGCTTTAGGGCAGAGCAAATCTTATGCGACGCGACATTAGCAATCGAGTACGGAAAATCTCTCAACCATTGCAGCATCTTTGCTGCCAGCTGCTCCTACTTTCACAAGCTTTTTGTAAAACAAAGTCATGGGCAAAAAAAAAATCTAAGTTGTCAGTCGCGACCCCGGAACATCACTGGGCGCTGTCGAAGAACTGCTTTGATATTTATAGTTAGGATTTGTTGCGGTAACTATATCATACGTTCATGGCATAACAGGGGCAGCCATTTTTTCAAATCTGGTTTAACTCAGAGATTTAGAATGCGAGCTTCTACGAGATCAGCCAAGCTTAGAAAACTGTGCAGAACTTCGCAGTTTGCTGATAGGAACCACCGCACAACTTTGAGATAACCTTTTGAGATTTTATTGACAAAAATTTGAATTATGTGGCTTGGGCTGAGGCTTTCCTGCCTCTCAAATCTATGGAATTAGAAGCGTTTAATTTACATGATGATTTTGTTGTCCTAAGAGAGGGAGATGATTACGAAGCAAGTATTAACTATGTAAACTACAACATCAGGTCTTGATGCCTTCACTTTAGAATTTCTCAACACATTACACCCTGTAAGTTAACATGTCATGTATTACCTCTACACAAACATCTCAGGCGTGGAACTTGCCTAAGTCAACGGATCATGTATTGACGTTCTTCTCGATACATGAAAGATATTTTGTTTGACTCCAGATAGTGTAGGGGAAACGCAATCATTCAGGCTTAGATAAGTCCTGCTAAATCATACCATTTATAGGGCTATACTTGGTGAAGTCGAGCTTTTCAACTCTTTGCTACACTACTCAAAAACACGTTGGGTATCAACTTGCTCCCGCAAGGCATAGATTCCTTGAACGGCAGGCTCTGGGGTCAGCGACTGGCCGAGTGAAACACTTCTGTGTATATTATGGGAGGTTTTTTATGATGATTTCAAACAGATTCACTGACCCTAAACCTAAGCAAAACACACCGTGGTCACCAGTGGGAAGCTTTAAGAAAAGAACAGCCTTACCAGGGATGCAGTTCAAGATGGACGGTTATACGTCGTGGAAATCTGGCACACGTCCTCAAACGGACGCTCGGTGCTCCACTTGCACCAGCTGATATGTGCTTTGCGCGGTTGTCGTAAACCACCATCTCTTTGCACAAGTGATGCCCCCTGCAAGAGAACGACTTGCGAAAATAAAATCATAGTGACTAATGGAAGGACTGACATGCTTGGACAGAAAGCCCGGACCAGCAGTGAAGCATGCGACGAGCGTACATGCATAACCCAAGATTCACCGCGGGTGTGGCTGTCGTCGGATGGAGAGTTTATTTAGTTAGAGAAAGGGTACTTGATAACAGTTTTAAAATTATGAGAAGTTAGTCGGTAGAATCTGGAAAACTGTTGACAGTATAAACCGTGCTATACCTAAAATGGAATTTTCAAATAAATGGACGTCGTTTCAATTAGAGAGAGTAGGAACCGCAAAAACTCTTCTTCAGGATCAAAATTAGCAACTTCTGCTGTTGATTTAAAAAGGAGTTGTAGAAAAAAGTGTTTTCTCGGGCTGTTGATTCCAAAAGGAGGTGAACAAAGGAGTGTTTTCTGTGTTTTCTTAGTTCGATGTCCTAACTGGTGGAAAGGAGGGGAAACTGGAGAGGAGGCTAATTATGCAGCGTGACGTGCGTTACGTTTGCGTGACAAGTCAGGAAGAAACAAACAAACATGGCGGACGACGGTGTGCAAGTATACAGTGTGCTCTGTTCAATATTTTGTAAAGAACTTGGCTTCGCCTAAACAACTTTCATTATTCGGAGATAACTTGGTGAGTTGTATGTGATGGTTCTTACAGCTCTATGATCACTTGGGGATTCAATGTCCCAATCTGACTGACAATTCGAACTGTTGGGAGATTGCGAACAGCGTACATTGCAAAACTGTGAAAATTTAGAAAAGTTACATTCGCAAATTTCGTTTAAGGATTTGGTCTTACTCATGAACGAATTTTATGCGCCTAAATTTTCAGTCTCTTATAGAAAAGGGAAAGGAATAGACCCTCTACACAGTCCATTGCTGTCCTAACGTATTTCGTAATCCCAGGAGTGTTTAAGGCAGCAGGAGCTGATAAGATTAAATCTAGTTATTTGGTGATTTCTATGCAAACTATTAAAGGGTGTGCCTGAATTTGGTGAAATAAATTCAACTTGTCAGGTGAATGGCTACACCTCAGAGGAATGACAAAGAATATGGCCGCCCAGTGGCAGGATCTAAAACCGAGACTCGTGGCAGATTTGCAGGGGCTCATATCAGCCAAGAAGTGAAGCAGTTGTGCCAAATTATTCTCCAGATGGGTGAGGAACAACCAGATGGAACTTCTACTGTCACATTTCGACGCTTGTTTGACAGGTATACCAGAATATCCAACAAAGTAGTAGGGATGTTACTCAGGGCTCGGAAGCAGAATTTGGTTCACTTTGAAGGGGAAATGCTTTTCCAAAGAAGAGATGATGATGTTATTATTACTTTACTGCACATGCCTGAAGAATTGGAAAATGACCCAGAAGAATATTGGAACATCCGTGCCAGATAATGAAATCATTTTGTTGGAAGATTTGTGGCACTTGAATAATGTTTCAACGCAGTAGATCATACAGTTTGCTAAATCCTTACACAATCCTGTAGACATGGTCTAAGCTCTCTCTTCATTTTATGAAATCAGTGGACTTCACACTACTGTTCTTAGCAATGATTTTACAGCGGACACAAAATTTTACAGTGGACATGAATCAAGTCCTTTTAATAATACGAAACAATAGAGTTATGTACGCTGGCATAAATATGTTTTGGGCCAGACTCGGAGTCATTTGTAGCCCCAGACACTCGGCTTTCAGGATTAAAATGACTCAGAGAAGGGCACGAAACATATTTATGACAACAAAACAGTTTGAACAAGTATTTAAGACAAGTATTTTCACTCCTTTGAAGAATCATCAATGGTTTTTTTAGTACGTACACTATAATCGGTCAGTTTAGCCAGCCGTATTTCAATGTACGGCCCGCTAAATTCAAAAGATTACTTAAATTTAAATATTCCTCCGCTATTTGAATAAAATAAATATTTTACTAAGCTCGTTTTCTCGGTCAGTAACGGAACCTTGTTTTTTCTGCTGCGATTTATTGGCCCGCCTGCTGCGCGCTTGGGTCCTTAAAATCTGTCTATCCGCAACGTGGACAAACTAATATGTGCTCGTCTAGCGAGTTGCTTGTTGCTGGATTGTTAAGGGTAATTTAAATTACAACGGGTACCAACAGACTAACAAAGCACGGAGCTTCCAGACTGCGCCGGTCCCAACTTGCACGTGAAGTTCCCTTTTTTTGACTTTTTCTTCACTCAGTTTTCTCTTCTTTAGTTTACCCCAAGGAGATCTTTAGCCATCGAAACTTCAATAGTTATCGGAAGAATTCAGTATCTTTCCTAGCGTCAAGTCAAACCTTCTGACTTAAATAGTGCAGTGCATAGAAATATTGGCCCGTTGGAGTGTTACAGTTTGCTGGCGCTTATCTTGGCCCAGCCACCAGAAAAAGTACGAACCACGCGCTGTACGAGATCTGGGATTTCTTCATTTATACGCGTGGCTGACATAATAATCGAAAGATGTTTGTAAACTATGATGGCTTCCGTTAAAGAACATTGAGGTGAGTGATTTAATCTGTAATTATATCAACCAGTTTCTCAGCAACACTTCTAGGAATAACAATAATAACTCGTAGAGAGCAAAATGTTCGCCGAATACCTATAGAAGTTGAAATTAAAAAATCAACAAAATCGATTTCAGGAATGGCTTTGTTAGAATAGAACTGAAAGCGAGCAAGATTATCATTTTGTTAGCTTCACCGTCGCTCGATCTGAAATCTCTAGCTGCTCTTTGCGAAGAAGATATCACTCCAAGATCAAGAGAGATGCTGGAATAAAAGCAAATTGAAGACGGTGATACAGGATAAAACAAAAAGATTTTTTTCCGCGTGTCTGTTCGGTAATGGTGGATTACAGATGACGTAAAAACGTTGATGGTGATTCTAAATCGATAGATGAACAGTTAAAGAAAGTGGCTGTAGGCTCGAGATAATATTCGTACCAGGTGGTTGAAACTTTCTACAAATTAATATTCCTCTATATTGGATTAAAAAAGACTCATTAAATGCATATTTGTTTTCGTTAAAAAAATGTCATTATGGTGATCAATTACTTCGTAAGTATAAATTATTAGTCTGAAATTTCCATCATTTTATTTTTATGTTATACACTTAGTCATAAGAAGTCGTCCAACTGCAAACTGCATTGTAACTACGTAGCCAATTTCTATCTATATCAGAGCAGACATGTTGTGATAAAGTAGGATCGATTTGTTTTGTTCAGTGACAAAGACTGAAAAAAGAGGAAAAATTACAAATGGCTTAGTAAGGCTTAACTGTTCGGGCTGTAGCCCTGTTGAGGTATTTTTGAAGATGCTAAGAATTCGGTTCGTTGCTTGTCGTCACTGCCGATTAAACTCATCACCAATAGATGAACCACTCACAGAACGAAAATAAAGCAATTACTTTCGACACTTAGTTAAAAATTGTCCTATTCAGGTATAATTAACTACTTATCACTAATACTTGTATTAGGGATCTCACGCAACAGCGTGACGCGCGCATAACGTAAAAACGTTGAACTGGCGCAGAAAAAAGCGCAGAAAACCAAATTAGAAGGTAAAACAAAACAGATCATTTGAATTTTCACTGTTCAGTTTTTGGGGGTTGTGCTTCATCCCAGTATCACATTTGTACTTTATTTTTGTTATTTTTCTCCTTGCGCAGAATGTTTCTCGATCGATATTATCGTCGTCGTCGCTGGATTGTGGGTGGTACTTTGGTGTCTATTGCTGTCATAACGATGATGCTAGTCCCTCCCCCTAGGGCGGTGAGTGTCAAAACCTCTAACATTACGTGTCGACGAGTTTCTTTTTCTAACGAACATTTAGGTATTTTCTTGATAGTGTTCCGCATTTTGATGAAATACTTTCAATCAGAACCATTTGTAAACTTTCAAAAAGTTAGAGTGAGCGGCTTAGTATTGAGCTCAAACCTCTTAAAGCAGTTAGCTGTGTAGTGAACTAAATATATCTGCAGAGAATAAAGCCACTGTAAAAATATGCACGAGTATATTGACTGGAATATGGTGGAATGGTAGGTCGTGATACTCCGGGCAAGAAACATGATTTTTCAATGAGACGAAATATCTGAAAGCTCCAAAAACAACCATTGAGGGGCACATTAGTGAGATATATTAATAGACTTAGAATGTTCAATTCTTAAGTTGTCACTAAATATAGTCGATAAATTCCTGTAAACCATTTTTTGACGCCCTCTGCAGTTCCCTTTGTTTTTCACTGAGAATGTAACCCAGACGAGAAGAGAAACCGATGAAGTTACAGGTAACAAAAAGAGAATTCTAACGTATAAAACTGCATTGAGTGCATTATTGTTGATTCATTTATTCAGTCATATGCCTCTAACGCACTCTAAATGTATTTTAAAAGGACTCAAGAAAGCAGAAACAGAATCTATACAAAACCCAAGCTTCACTCTCAAGGAACCACAGATGTTAAGCACTCCACCGCCCACACCGAGCATATTTACTTACGTAGAAGAACCTCCCGTTGAAAACGAAATGAAGAGGTTCATGACGGCGCTTTCAACGCAGGGGGCTGTTTGCTCTGACGTACGTCGAATAGGAGGCTTACCGCAAGGTCCTCACGGAGCCCCTCGTCCGCTTGGCCCTGATGGGATGTGGTATGTTTGTTTTGACGAGGAGGTTCATTTAGAGTCCGGGTCTTGTATCGTTTACTCCTTTGGGTAAGTTACTGAGGTATTTACCATTGGTCGAATGTGATAATCTGGCTAGACTGTGATGGTCATGACAAAATTGGATGGGTATTTTCCAGAAAGTTTCTTTGCTGATACAAAATTTCATTTGAACAGAGGATACAGTTTATCAATTGATTATCTGATTTAGACGTCGGTTTAAATGATAACGTTATAGAATTCGTCCTGTATGATAAGAACAGATTCACATGCCATTGGGTTCTAGATAGCTGATGGTAAATACATTAAGAAATTCTTGCTGTGGTCTTGACATTCGCCTATTGAACAAACATGGCCGGGCCGCGTTTGTTCAAAAAGGGATTAACAGGATGAGACGATCTGCGGTGGCCATTAGTTATTTACATGGTTGACGCGAAATAATTGTCTTTCAATTAGACAGCCAATGCCTAATGTGTTTCACTAGCCTCGTACCTTCACTGCCAGTTTAAAATTTTCCAGAACTACATTGGTTTCAGCTCACTGTATGAGGGTCTTCATGAGGTTAACCGTAAGCCGTAAAACGGTAAAAAAAAATGTAGCCGTCAGGCGTAAAAAATTGAAAAATTTTAACTGTTAGTCGTAAAAAAAAGTTAAACGTAAAAACTTTCAAGTGATCACAATGGAAAGATATTAACTGTTAGCCGTAAATTGGCCAAATTTAAAATTTTACCTATCGACGTAAAAGCCATCACCCCATTGAGACCTTCCTGTATGCGGTCCGTGATTGGCCATCCTTTCAACCAAAACAAAAGCAATGTGATGGCGACACGGAAATTCGTTTATCTCCGCACTTTGAATAGATCTAACAGCTGAGATTCCCGTGTTCGAATCTCTTCGAAGCTCATGTTGTTTCGGGGTTCCTTTTGCAGTAGCTCAGGCCCTCATTCGACATTCCATATTGTTGTCCATACAGTTTGTTTGTTTTTTCTTTGAGATCTCCCTGGCTCTTCGTGTCATTTCCTATTCGTTTATTAGCCGTTGTGACTACCTACCTTTTTTCGACGGTGATAAGTGAGATGACCTCAACGGTTCGAGCTTGTCTTCAGGAAACAATCAAAGCAAGATTAAATTTACGCTTGCATGTTGCTACATTTTCTTTAAACTTTTTAAAAAGAATTAAGATATTTACTTGCTGCTGATTCCTTATAGAACAGGGGATGACTTTTCCTTTGATGAAAAAATGGTCGAACATGGCTGCAGGGTGTTTGCTTTTGATCCCTCCATGGGAAAAGAAGACCATAACCATAGTGCTGGCGTAATGTTCTATAACCTAGCCCTGTCAGACGAGAATCTCGAAGGACAAAAGGATCCTCCCCCTATTAATCCATTTGACAGGAATGGATGGAAGACAAGAACGCTAAACGCCATTTTACAGGAACTAGGTCATGAAAAGGTATTATATTTGTTTAAATTCCTGCTGAGATAGCATAGACTTTGAAGATTCTGTTGTTATTAACGCTACAAACATAAAAAAGGTGGGTGGGTCGGTGAAAATTTAGTCCTCTTTCGTTTCAACGTCTATCCTCATTTCAAATGAATAAAGGGGTAAGTTTCTAAAGAAACTGTGGTGCTGCGTCGGTGGGAGAGTATAGCAGGTAATTTAGTGTCAACAACTGGGTTGAAAACGTAAATTAGCCACCGTAAAGGCTAAAAAAGCTGACGTTTCGAGCGTTAGCCCTTCGTCGATCGCTCTGACGAAGGGCTAACGCTCGAAACGTCAGCTTTTTCACCCTTTACGGTGGCTAATTTACGTTTTCAACCCAGTTGTTGACACTAAATTACCTGCTATCCTCATTTCAGTTTACTTGTCTGCAAGTTTGAAAGGCAGTGCGAAAAGTCAGCTGTTCACTTCATATTTTCCTTGATTTTGATTGGTTATTAATGGTAAGGTAATTCATAGTCATTGGCTAGTGGGATTTGATGCATTATTTCTATTGGCCAGTTTACCGTTCAATTTGACCAGTCCTCGGAGTACACGTATCTTGCATGTAATTGGGAAAGCCACATCCGACGGTTACGTACCGCACCAGTCAATTAACCGCCCAACAAATAAAGATTTGTGCATTTTTTTATTTACATAATGATAAGAAATACTGCGAAATACAGTCCAAGTTGGCGAGGTAATAGCCATTCGTTATCAAACCTTCCTATTCTTCGACACTTTTTACTGTCCCTAGAGAGAAATTGACATTCTAAAGATGGACATTGAATCTGATGAGTGGAAGTGCTTACGTCATATGCTTAGCCAAGGCACTTTGTTGCGTCACGTGAGACAGCTCGACGTAGAATATCATGTGATCATGCTAACACCAGAAGCGCTGAGGCAGTACTACAGTATAGCGAAGTGGCTTGAGAGACAAGGATTCAGAATTTTCCATTCCAGAAGAAATCCTTACTGCCAGGAGTGCTGGGAAATGTCATATATTAACTCTAACCTAGTCAAGTTGACATTAAATTGATTTTTTTAAAAAGTTTGGAATCGTGTTGATTAAGGCGTCTTTAGCCATCGTTCACCGTCGTTGGAGTTGTGGCTTATTTGATAACGGTAATGTAGTCCAATTTGGGCCTTAATCATTCGAGTAATTAACAAAATCGGGCGACCTCGAGACGGGAGTCTGATTTGTCGATCACGAGTATGATTAAAGACAGAATTGGAGGACTCAATGTCCTGTTACCAATTAATTAAAATTATATCAAAATTTGAGAAAGAAACTAGACATCGGTTACACGTTTTTATTTAAAAAAAAATATATATATATATCTATATATATATATATATATATATACACATATATATATATATATATATATATATATACACACATATATATATATAAATGAAAGAATCAAAGACTTATATATACTCAGCTCTGCTACCACAGCATTGAGCACTTTATGCCAAGGTAGACTCTACCCCCACATTTATATATATATATATATATATATATATATATAAAACTATATATATATATAACTAACTGCAGACAGTACTGTTTCGGCCTTCTGGGCCTCATCAGTGCAGTGCTGATGCTAGGATGGCGATGGAGGTAAGGCCATATGGCCACCCCAAGTGATCTCACACATGTGGAATCATCTCAGCCATGCCAGAGTGCTCAAACTAGAAAAACTAGTGAGCATGCATATATATAAATTAAAAAATACACAACACTTAACAAGCATGACGCGTGCACTGTTCTATTAGCGCTCAAATCGGGCCAGTGGTAACTAATCACATTCGAGAATTTTTTTATAGTTTTGATTAAACCGAATAAAATTGTAGTTTTTCATTGCTCACGAAAAACTCTTACTTGTATAAGTGAGTCACGCGACCCTTTTGTTACAGATCACGCGAGCTTTGTCAGCCACACACCAGTGTTAACTATATTCTCAAACGTGAAGGATAAATCATCAAATTTACTTTTCTCGGAAAATACGATCAGTGAAACGCTAACGAGAAACCTTTCGAGGAATTGTTTGACCTTATTTTATTTCAGGTGAAATTTTCGCATTAATGTGTTTTTTGGAAGGAAAAAAAAAAATCTTTTAAATCCCAGTTTAACCAAGACCCAAAGCCTTGTTGAACTATAAAACATATATTGGGTGATAAGGCTGCGTTTAGTGGTTCCTTTGTTATACGCGAAAGTGATTTGGTCACGAATGAATAAATGTACATGGCAAACTGGTCCTCGCAAATTGTACAGCAAAGCAGATGTAAAAACAATTACATAACCTTTTAAAAAATATAAAACGTGACCTTCACAAGTCATGTTTTGAACTTGAAAGTGGTTGTTATGTTATGTAACAGTAAACTTCGATACGGAAAAAAATATTTTTAGGGAAACAAAACCCGCACAGCATTTGTTTGGGTTTCCTGTGATCCATATCTATGGTTTGGTGCATGCAGTTAGAACCATGGTGCGTTATACTGAAAGTAAACTTCATCCAATTCCTCCTAAACTTACTTAAAGAAGATGCATTCGAAATCAGAAACATCAACTGGTCGCAATTACTAGTCACGAGGTTGAAGGGACTCCCCCTTCACGTGATGTTTGGGATCACATGATGAATTGCCCCCATACTTCACCCTAACTATTTTCAACATGGATGCCTTACGAGTTAGACGCATGAACTCAACTGCGGCAAAGAACGTCGTGCGTTTTATTCTAGAAACCTTACTCTGCATTTACCAGAATCCACAAGTCTTTGGTCACCATTCTTTGTGTGTTCTGGTGTACGCAGCAATCCATGGGCTTATTTATCTCCTTCAAAGAGGAAGTATCTTACAGAGGAATGTCGAGGAAAGTACAGCATCTTCGTCGTCAGACTCTCTCGTTGGTTGCCCTAAAAACTCTTCTACGTCGAAGGTTTGCGAAAGTGACGGTGAAGCGCTAAAGTCTTCCATAGAAAAGGATGATTCGACGTGGGAAAATGACTTAGGGAAGCCCGCCGAACGCAGCTCACCTGTTTTAAATCCGGATCATTTCGATGCTCGGAACAGATTGTCTATGCTTCGAATGAAGGATATTATTTCAATCCTAGGAGACTGTAGAGCTAAAAGTGTGGACATTGCTGCTTCAGGGAAGAATGATTTGGATGGCTTTTTCAAGGGATTGGGTAAGTTAGTGCGTTGCATCTGTTTGAATTTCAGTTTTCTTCCATGTAATCGAATTTGGAATTATCAGGTCTGATCTCCTTCAATCGTTAATTGTTATATACGTGCTCAGTAGCCCTCAAAGTTCACGTCTCTGATCGTCCTTTTCGTCCTTTGTAGACGTCTCGTCATTCCGGGGCGCTGGTGAACGAAGGATTTCTACGAAGAGAGGAATTCGAGTGGATTTGGCGGACAAAGAGTAAGCAGTCCGGTGATTTAGTTCCATTTTTAAAGCATGTCTCCTGAGACCCTCAAATATTGTTTTGTTCATACATACGATTTTTAATCCTTTTAAGAACTGTTTTTTAAGAAAGTTACGCAGTCGTAATTGCCAAAATGAACAAGGTGGTCCCAAGAGAAATATTTTCAGCGGGGAATTTTTTGAGCAAGGTAGTTTCCCCCACGATTTTATCATAAAACAGACACGAACGTTTATGAAATGTTACTTTTTATTTTGGTTGTCTTTCAATATCTTTTTGTCTGTATTATTCTACAGAAATATATTTCTGCTGCAATTTCCTGGTTAGGAAAATTTTAATAAATCACTTTTAACAAGGAGAAAAATTATTAAAATAACTGTAGTAAAAGGAAATGATGGGTATGATTTGTGCATGTGTAAGGAGTGATTCGTATAAGTGTATTGTTGTGTCTACCGAATCAAGGCATTAAAAAGATAAAAGTCTAATTTCCAATACGTTCATGACGCAAATTTTCAACATTTCAGATTTTTTCTTTGTTTTATTGATTCAATATAGACTTCAACTGTGTGTATTTTCATGGTAGTGCATAACGAACATGCAACATCAATTTTGTCTAGTTTGAGGTAAATTAAGGTATCTTGGTTTCACAAGAATTCACTAAATTCAGCACTCCATGCTCCATGTTTTTCTAAATAATCATTTGAGAAAATGAAATCCTAAAAACTAGTGGCCAGGATTGAAATATTGTTTGCTAGAAAAAACAAATTTTAGTACAATTGGAAAAGGACATTATATACAATACCATATGATGTACTGTACCTCTGACCAAAACTGAGTTTTTAGAGAAAAAATTTGGAAATGTAGCAATCATTTGTAAAGGTTCATGTTACATCTCATGACATAAAACGTTCATGTTTGTTTTAAGTCAAAAGAGAAAGAGGGAAATATTATTTTAAAGAAAGTGGTAGGATATTTAACATAATTATCCCATCTGAATGTTTATTTCACTTTGATTTTGGAACATAAACACTAAGTATTAATTGAATGAAGCAAAATACCATTAGTGCTGACCCAAGGTGAAATTTTAATCTGGGTTTCTTTATTCCTTTATTCAAAAGCCTTTTTGGGATAATGTCCTGTGTTCTTTTTAGAGCATTAAATAGTCACATTATAGACAAGAAGAATTCAACTGAATTTTTTTTTAAGCTATCAGATCTGAAATCAGATTTCACACTAACCCTGAGTTATCCTAACCCAGCTTTGAAAAACCCGGCCCAGGTCACCAAACTGACCAAATTAACCTTTAGTTAATTATTTAGAAATATCTTCACCCTTTCACTCCCAGATCTGTAAGTAATTCTCCTTACTGTCTGCCATTTGCCCAACTGATATTTCTCTTTATTCTCATCACTTGTCTTCTTGACATTGTATCGATATTGTAGGGAGAAATTCTGTCTTGGTCACTCCTGGGAGTTGAAGGGTTAAACCAAAGCCTTCACAGCTTGGAATGCTGAGTTACTGTTGAATTTAGTAGTAATTGCATGAGAAAGTGAGTGTCTTTGTTGTGTTTTCAATGGCAGCATAAACTTACATGTGTCACTTACTGGAAAAGCAACTAAAATCCCTGAAGAACATGACTGGGTTGGTATAGAGGAAGAGACTCTAACTGTTACAGTGAAAACAACTCTATGTGATCATGGCACACTGACAAGAGAACCATCAGATACAGGTTCCACTCAGAAAGGAAGTGGTGATCCAAATAAGACATGCCAGACACTTCCAGATGGAGGAGGACCCTCCTCACAGGTTGCAAAGGTTCAGAATGGAAGCATCAGCTACTCCCGCTGCAGCAGTGGTAGTGGAGGAGATGATGGAGATGGTGATGATAACAGGAAGCAGACTGGTCGCATTGGTGGCTGTCAAGGTAGTGGTGGGAATGATGTAGACAATGAGGACGAAAGTAAGCAGGCATCCAAACAACAGGGTCCTGAAGATGATGTTGCTAATGATGATGATGATTGTCGCAGCAATGAAGAGAATCACAGTGAATCTCAAAGAAGTGGTAGGTAACTGTATTCCAGCTCTGGGTGATTTTGATACTAGGGTTGCCAAGAAGTTTGAAAGTAGAATACAAGGAGGAAGTAGGTGACCAGGTTATTGTGAATACCTTGTTGTTTCATTACTTTACTTCCAAGACTAAGAACTACACTTACTCTGTTTAAATGTATCCCATTATTGAGATAGTTTACACAAACTTTCAAGCGAATTCTGATTGTAGAATTAATTCACATACCTTAACTTTTTTTGTGGTAAACTATGCATCTAATCTTACTCAAAACTTGGGAATGGTTGCTGCAAGAATCTCTCTGATGGTATTTCAAAAATTACTGGCTTTCTAATCAACAGGTAGGGTAAAATGAGGTGAAAAAAGTGAGCTTAAGATGGGAGACTAGCTGTCAGTTTTGACTGACAAACAGCTCAGACTGACAGCCATGGACACCACCTTTAAGTGAAGGCTTGATGGATGTGTCATCATAAGAGCTCATTATTCATACATCCCTCCTTTTAATGCAATGTTAAATGGCTTTCCCATAAGTAGAGTGATTGTAGGATTTGCCTTTCCTATGATCAGCTTAACTCTTAATGTTTGATTTTAGTTATGGAGATGATTCCTTCTTTGATATAAATTTCATAGGTGAAAGAACAGTGCATACTGAATTAACATGTGAAAAAAGTGTATTAATACTCAAAGTAAGATCAGTTACTGTTGTTAAAAAATCACTTTATATATCCATTTTGGAGTGCTGTCATTTACCACTAGAGTTGTATGTTTGTTGCAGATGAAAGTCAGAGAGATGGTGCACAGTCTTCAAGTAGCTACAGCACAGTGGCTGATGGAAGTGGTGAATTTCCCTCCCAGAAAAATGAAAACAGTTCATGTTCCGACAATGCCAAGAAAGCTGCTCAACAGGTTAATTAAACCTCTCATGATGTTGTGCAGATTATGGATAGCTCATTCTTGTCACTAAGCCAAACTATGTTAAAGTTTACTGACAATAAATTTATCAAGACAATATTTAGTTGGTTATTGTTTAGACTGAAACAAGACTGGGTTTTCAGCTCAAATTTTCTCTAAACCTAGATCCACTGGTTCAAAAATCATGAATTAAAAGTTCTTTGGACCAATGTAACTTTTGCTTTTAATAAATGTCTGTATGAAATTGCAGGGCTTGTGGATTGATGTTACTGCAGTCAAGATAACAGCTCAAGCACATTTCACACCCCTTGAGTCACAGGTATTCTGAATTAACTTGGAATGTCTTTGAAAATCACATATTCTTCAAATCATAGCTCTCTAATGGAATTTTTTTTCATTGTAAGTTATTTGGTTCCTGAAAATATTTGAAACCCCAATCAAAAGGGAATTATAGAATTTAAGGAGTTTGTGGGTTAGGTTCGAAGATGCACAGAACACTGGAGAGTATAGAGTGTGCATTTAGAGAAATTACATTATTTTATAGCTGGTTAACCCTTTAACTCCCACATCAAATTTGTAATTCTCCTTACTGTCAACCATACAATTCTTATAATGTTAGTTCAGAGAATTTAGTATTGAATCAACTAATTATCCCTAAATTGATATTTTTCTTTATTCTCATTACTTATATAGTTGATAGTGTATTGATATTATAAGGAGAAATTCTGCCTTGGTCACTCATGGGAGTTAAAGGGCTAAGCTTAATGCAGTGATGAATGAAATGTATTTCAAAAAGTGCTGCTCTGAAAGAGGCCTATCAAATGTTCTATGGCTATTGATATTTAGTGCATTAAATACATTGAATTTGATTTTGTTGCCAAAGTATTTGTGACAAATAATATATAATATGTTTTTCCCTTTTCACTTGAACTCTTCTTAGGATGAATCAGAGGAAATCTGCAGGAGTGAATTACATGAAGACCTGCAGAAAGCCTTTACCTGTCGGCGAAACTTGAATTCTGAGAGAGAGTGGCAGAAATGTACTGATGCCTTCTGTCAGCTAATCCAATACTTGCTTGACCACTCGCAAAACTGCAGAATGCGTGTGTTGGGTGGATGTGAAGACTGTATCAGTTATAAGGATATGCTGTTTAACCATGTTTCAACATGCATTCTTCCTCTAGGACGATGTGTAGTTGCAAGGTGTGATTACATCAGGGAGTACATGTGTACAAACTGCCTTCCAGAGAACAGGAAATGGACATGGGCCCTTGATCAGTTGTTCTTCAGACCCACACCCCCCTCAACACCCACAAATGAAGACAGTGAAGAGTTCCTGGGTGGTTATAAGGAAGTTTTGACAAGACCGGAAGCTGCAAACCCCCAAGAAGACACAGTTCATGATCCAGTTAAAGACATCCTAATTGCTGATAGAAGCTTGACATCTAACTGTGAACCCTTGCGAAGTGCAAATGGATGGAATCAGTACCATGTGGACCGCCCACCAGATGTCCAAGTTACCAGAGGTCCTGTTATCCAGGAATCCATCCAGGCTGAATGTGAAGACTGTTCACCAAGTGCCCCATTGAGTGTGGCTGATGTGTCTGTGACAAATACTTGTACAAGCCAGACTGTGGGAAGTGATTTGGTGCAGGAACTAGGAGAGGTCATTTGGCCCTTGAACCAGGTACTGCTAATTAACCCTGGGTCATATGTCTTGTTTGCATTTCAGCTCTCAGGAAGATTAACTTCCATTAGATGGCTGCTTGACGTACATGTAAATATACATGTACCCTGAATCACCCACATTTGTCTTGAACCTTTCATATAGAGGAATTTAAACCTTCAAATTCCCATAAGTGATATTGATAAATCACCTACATTTTCCTTGAACCTCCCATATAAAGGAATTTAAATCTCCCTTCGAATTCCACCAAGGGATTAAGAGGTTCTTTCTCCTTGTAATTTTAAAATACATTATTTAGCAAACAAGTAGAAAGTAACATGCCATTTGGGGTTTATTATTATCTTGATATGGCACTAAATGCTTCAGTGATCACTAATCAATTCACAAGAGGCTGTGTAGCATCTACTTTGTGCAAAGGGGAATTACTTGTATTCA